GGGTAGCATATATATATATATATAAAATCCTGGTTACATTGACCCTAAAGGTAGCGGGCACACACACATATATATATATAGGTATATATATATATATTTATACACATATAGAAATGTATGAATGTATGTATGTATGTATGTATGTATGTATGTATGTGTGTGTGTGTGTGTATATATATATCTGTTATATCTATATGGTACCCCCCAAAAAAAAGAACACCTCAGTATATAAACAAGCCGGCGTAAGGCCAACAGCTGCCCATATAAGGCCCGTGTTAGTGCACAGGGCCGAGGAGCAACTTTGTGGGCCAATCTTGGTTCCCAGGCTTGGGCCCGTGTTAATTAACCCGGGCCGTGTTAAGTAACACGGCTCCACGGAACCAAGAACCAAGATTCCCACAAAGCTTTTTTGGGCCCTTTGTTCCCAGGCTTAGGCCTGTGTTAATTAATTAACACGGCCAGTGTTAATTCACCCGTGGCCCGGGAACCAAGAACCAAGATTCCCAGAAAACTTTTGTATATATATATACATATAAATACATATGCCCTTTGTGTGTATATATGTATATATATATGTATACATGTATCTTTGTATGTGCACAGGTACTCTGTATGTAAGAATGTATAGGTGCACACACACACACACACACGCACACTCTACATCTAGACATAGGCTCATACGCAGGGCATGCATACACACGTATATGTGCATGTACATATATGTAGACAGATCTACAAAAGTATATGGTTACACATGCTATACATGCATATACTCTACATGTAGTCAGACTTTATAAGAACCACTTACATATATGTAGACATATATGTGTGCGTGTGTTGTATACATATATGCATATGTACATTTGCAATTGTAATTATCGTATGAAGAAAAGGAACGCATACACATGTATGCGTAACAATGCATGTATCAAAAAAAATATAGATATATCTATATGCACATGTGTGTACATGCATCCACATATGTATGTGCACAAAACCATATCTGGCTATGTGCAAATCCGAGGTCGAGCTTTTGGTACCTCGCTGACGAGCGGCTCGCTCGGAAGCAGGAGGAAGCGCTCCGCTTGAGGCCTGAGTTTCTGCTCCGGTCACGTCATGATCGGGACGATGACGATCACGAGTTTAGGGTTGAGTATTTTGGGATGTTGAGCGGATGATGATGAACAATAGGATGACAAAGACACGAATCAGGAAGTGGGCAAGAAGTATCAGAATGATGATGACCCTGATGAGGGTTGTCATGATGACGAACGTTGATGATGCTGCTGCTGATATGGTGAGAACAGTTGCATGCTGTGAAAAAGTGTTGGATGCTATAAGAGTCATCGTCGTTATGGCAATCACCGTTATCTTTGTCGGCGTCATCGTCAGAATGAACATGAGCAGGAACATCAGAATCAGCTTTAGTCCGAGCATCAGCGTGAGTAAGTTAGCAAGAATATTGACAGCAGGTTCAGCAGCAGCAGCAGCAGCAGCAGCAACAGCAACAACATAGCATCTGTGTGTATATGTAGGGTGTTATAGAGACATTGTAGAGTGTAACAAATATGAAATGGATATACAAATATGTACAGTATTTTTTGTCGACTCCTCTCGACTCCTCGACTTTTCACTGTGATGTCAACAGAGGGTTGGGGCTCAGCAGACTGGTTTCTCTTTTCACGGAAGTCAGTATTGTAGTATAAAACATATAGTATGATATAGCAAAATCTAAACGCGCACAATGTAAAACAACATAGTTCGATGTAACATATCACCATATAATATAGCATAGTCCCGCATAATATAATGGAATGTAACAGAGTGTAATAGAATGTCATCGAGTGTAACAGAATGTAATGGAAAGTAAAAGAATGTAATAGAATGTAACAGAATGTAATAGAATGTAACAGAATGTAATAGAATGTAATAGAATGAAATAGAATGCAATAGAATGTAATAGAATGTACCGGAATGTAATAGAAGGTAATAGAATGTAACAGAATGTAATAGAATGTAATAGAACGTAATAGAATGTAATAGAATGTAATGCAACGTGAACAAAAATGTAAAATCAGGCAGTGTAATGTAATGTAATGCAATGCAATGTAACACTATGTAACACAGTATGATGCTCAGCTGGCTCCGCTCCCTGCGCTGCGGACAGGATGTATGGCTTTGGGTTCTCCTACGCCCGAAGGGTGCTTCCCGAGGCCTTCGGATAGTAAGCTCGTTCTTGGAATTGCTGCTAGTGTGATTGTTTTGATATGTTTTGATTCTGTCGTTTTGATTATCACGTCTGTTACTACTACTGTTACTACTACAACTACGACGACGACGACTACTACTACTACTACTACTACGACGACCACTTTGTATCTGCAAACAAGAGCTCTGACTTTTTGCCAAAAACTTGACGGTCTTGTAATCTTGGTCAGGCCGGGGAGAGGCAAGATTGCCCGGCAATCTTGGCAATCTTGGTCATATTGCCCCTGCGCCATTGCTCGCCGACTAGTTTACTTTTTGGAGACCAAGATTGCAAGATTGCTTGGCAATCTTGGGCGCAGTCTTGGTCCAAAAGGTAAACTAGTCGGCGAGCCCAAGATTGCGAGACTGTTCGACAATCTTGGCCAGATAGCAGTTCTAGTTTCCCGGCACACTGTACAACAACAACAACTACAACTACTACTACTACTACTACTACTACTGCTACTACTACTACTACGACTACTACTCCTACTATTATTCTACTACTACTACTACTACTACTACTACTTTGATGAGCTTAACTCTATTGCGCAATGTGGTTTGGTTTCACAGGCGCTCGCCGTCCGCGCAGAGCGGGACTTGGTGACGCAGAGCCTTTTCCGTTCCCGACTCAGCCATCTCCTACAGCTCCCAAAACCTGACTCCCAACAAAAGCAAGAAAATGATGGTAACTAATTGTAGCAACATCATTAGTACCTACAAGGTTGGAGGAGAAGAATGAGAACGGTGAGAACACTCACAATAGTACTGATTCTGCAGGTCGCGAATTCGATGGCATCATCTACGGGAAGGCCTGGAGCTGTCGCTGTAGCAGAAAAGAAATTGGAGAGGGCCAAAGGCTACGGCCGAAGCTTGTAAGAAGCGCTTGGGACCCTCGTTGATGAGTACCTTTGTCAGCTTCGAGACACCATGTAGATGTGCGACAGATTGTAATGTACGTGTGACAGAACCTGAACGACAGGAGTTCACGTTTGATGGACTAGGCCCACGGTAAATATGTATTGATTGCCGAAGGTTTGACAAACCAACAACCCTGCCTGATTCTGCTGACCGCGATGGAATGCTGGGTGCTTCGCCGCAGAACTACAGTATTATATCAGAGTACATTATCTTATTTATATATACACATTACATTATGAGAGGTTGTAACATATCATTTTAGTACCGCTCTGCCCTGTGAGGTTGGCCCCAACCAGGCCTGCGATCCTCTGCCTTTCTTCAACGAGGTGCAGGCCGCCGGCTACCCTTCCGAGGTGCCCTGAGATGCAGGTAGAGCCATGGTTTAGGGTTTAGGCTTTAGGGATACCGTGAGGCCCAATCATGGCAAATGGATGCAATGCAGAGTTGTCATGACCTCTGACCAGATTAGAGTCTTCGTACTGTCGCCTTCTTGCCAGCGTGTGGCCCTCATCTACGGTGGGGACTTCGGGTTGGAGACACAGTTGCCAGCGCCTCAGACACCGGGCTTGTACACGGGTTTCAGAGAGCCCTGCTGCGGCTAAGGGTCGCCCAGCATGCTCGCATCTTCTCCGGTCATGGCATCATCTTTTTCCGCGAGATGATTGCCCCACTGGACGACTTCCACTGGGTCCCTGCGAGGGTCTACCCCAGAGCTTGCCCCACGGCATTCTTGAGCTGCCGAAGCACTTGCCTGTCCTAGCAGATTCTAGACTGGACCGCAGGCATGTTGAGATGTATACCCATCAGTCTGAGGGTTCGACCTCATCCTGCGTTTATCTCACTCGAACAGTTGCCTCAAGTGTCAGCTTGCACTGCAGCTCAGGCTACGCTGATCCAGCGTGGAAGCAGTTCTTCCACCTTTGGTATCAGCGCTTGGAGTGCTGGGGGTGCCCCGAGATTGACGTGCCAGTGCGACAGGAGCTATGGGCCACCTGCCTACATGGACTGTCGTGTATCGAAGAATGCAAAATGGTAACCCGCAAATCTGAGCTGTCGTTTAAAGGGGGAGCTTCGTCAAATGGCTGCCGGCCGTTCATGGCAATCAGGCCCGGCTCTTTTTATATCTTTTTGCTGTTGTGCGCTTCTTTCCTTTTGAGTTTTTGAGGTGTCGGCAAAATGGAGCTCATGCCTCCTTGTTGGAGTGGCTTGGTACTTCTGGCAGTGCCACTGCTAGCAGATGGGGGAATGCCAGCAAGGTTGCCAGGTTGCAGATAAGAGCAGAGTTGTCACCAGCTGCTGCAAACATGCTTGTTTTGGCTGTCAGCTCAGATTTCAGGGCTCTGGGATTCCTTAGAGCCTTAGAGGTTGCTTTAGACATGTCCTTAGTCCAGCCATGTCCAGCCACATCTGCCAATGCCTCAACTCACTTGCTGTCCAGAAATCTAGAACTCAAAGGCCAAATCGAAACTGACAGGACGTAGAGTTTGGCAAACTGATTCTTCAGCATGTTGCCTTGAAGGGCAGAGTCCTTTCCTCTAACTTTCCTCTGTCGTGTGTATCAATATTCTTGAGTTGGCTGTTCCACAGCCGGAGTTTCATTAATTATTTCTTCGACTATCGCTGTCTGAACCGGTTGTAGCTTGTGGGCTTCTCTCCTAGACTTTCAGGCTTGCGATGGTATTAGCTCCGGGGCTTCCTGGTTTACTCAAATGGTTGCGGCACATGACCAGCGAGCTCGGGGATTGCTGAACTGCCTTTGCGAAGGAAGCCCTCGTCCGAAGACCTCGAAGACAGATGCGAGTTCTTCTACCTGCAGCTGCGCAAGGTGCCGGGACTCCTCATGCTAGGAACGCCCCCCCCCCCCCCCCCCCCNNCCCCCCCCCCCCCCCCGCCCCGCGCACCTCGCTCTGTAGACTCGGTCACTTCTGCAACTTTCTTCGCAGAGTTGTGCTCGTCTTATGATAACTTTGCCGAGACGCTTACCAGTGCTGCTAGTGTAAGCTCATCCGGAGGCCCAGGCTTTCCTCAGCTTCCGAACGCGGCCG